AATGCTTATTTTACCTTGATTAAAACAATTTTTTTAAAGAAGTTATTTTGTGTATCTTTTTTACATAACATTTGCCATTGCTAATGGCGTACACAGTAATCTAGCATATTTGAATTAAATTAATCAATTCAAGCTAAAATGTAAGAGTCTATAATTAGGCTACTGAGCCTGATCTATTTGTACCAGAGATTTTCTTACCTTTTAAAAAAATGTCACCTGGGCTAAAACTCCCTCTGCGACCCTGATTTGCATTTGTATAGCTCACAGCATTTTCATTTACATGTCAAAGCCTCCCCTAGAAATAGGAGGAGGGGGGTCATGGGGGGACAACTGCCAAGGGAGGCCCACGTCAATTTCTGACAATTTACGGCAGTTTTCGGCGTTGCCCGCAAATTGCCGCAAACCTGAAATTCCACGACAATTTACAGTGCCGCATACTGCCGAAAATCCCACTTTTCATGCAGTGTATACTGCAATATACTTTGTACACATAGTGCATCTCAATATATCATTCATATTTAGTTTACATAACCATTTGATTTATACCTGAGGCCTGAGAAGCAAGCTTTAAATCTTTTGGTTTTCTGGCTTAATTGACCCGTACAACCCCCCCACTGGGTTTCTCAATCTGGTTATCAGCATGTTCACAGATAGATGCTGTGGTTGCATCATATGACCGATCATAAACATGAACACGTGTGCTGTCAAATATAGGGAAAACTATAACATTGTAAGAATACAAAGAACTTAAAAACGTAATTTCATTGAATTCTGAACTAAAACAGCTTAAACTGCCAAATTAAAAAATGTTAGCTTTTAAGAAAATCCGTGCAAAATGAACAAATTAAAAGTAAATAATAGTGGTGGGCCGTTATCGGTGGTAACGTGCTGCGTTATGGTGAGACTCTTATCGGCAATAAAGAAAAAATAGCGCCGATAATCTATTCTCAAAGTTGGGTTGGGAGCTGGGTCTATACTACGCAAGCTATGAGGATTTTCACCTTGATATTCTAGCGCGGATGTATACCTACGAGCGCGGATGTTTACCTAGCCAAATTGCACTGTAGGGGGCGAGAACGAGCCGTGCTAGCATGGATGCAGCTACGAAGTCACCAGGTTTGCTTCAGGGAAAATTTATTTTTAAGAAGCTTCCCAACGGAAACCTCGACAAGACGAAGGTTGTTTGCACCTTGTGCAAACAGGAATTAGTTTACTGTAGAAGTTCTTCAAGTCTCAAATACCACCTAAACGCAAAGCATCGCTTAGCTAACGCGGAAGATGCCGGGTCAAGCACTGATGTAGCGCAGGGGAAGAGTCGTCGTCAAACTACTATGTTTGAGTGCAACCGAGGCAAGCCCATCAGCACAGCTCTATCGGCCAAGTTAACGAATCTCCTCGCTCAGTGGATTGCCACCAGCTGCCGGCCCATCAGCGTGGTAGAAGATGACGGGCTCGAGCTTGTTCTTCAGGCGGCCACAGGTGATCCATCTTATAAACTACCTGCTAGGCAAACTATCATGAGGAGAATACATGACCAGCACGCCCCTGGTCTAATGTGCTACCTGGGTTGAGAAACCTGTTCTCAAAGACTTACTTTTAGTAATTATTTGGGTAGCACACATATTCTAAATGCCTTCGGCAGAATTCAAATGAGCCATTTTAATCTAGAGTAAAGAAAGACTAGAAAGACTTTAGTCTTTCAGTGTCTGTAATGCAACTTTCTGGTCTGGGCCCCATACCCAGGATGTGTCTTGTCTGGTCAGCTTGCGCAGCGGTTCTGAGATTGAGGAGAAATCTTTGATGAACCGGGAGCAGTAATTAGCCATCCCCAGCAGACTCCTGATTTCTCCTGGATTCTGGGGGTCTGCAGCCTGCTGAACTGCAATCACCTTCTTGGGATCTGCTGAAACACCCCCTGCTAAGAAGATGAAACCAAGGAACTCAAGCCTTGACTTATTGAACTCATATTTTTCTCGATTGAGTGTGAGGACTCTGGAACAGTGCTCGGAGGTTGTTGTCATGGTCAGTCTGGGAGGCTCCGTAGACAATGATGTCGTCGCTGAGGTTCTTCACACCAGAGAGACCTTGAAGTGTCTGGCATATAGCATTTTGAAATACTTCCGCAGCAGAGGATATACCAAAACTCAGTCTCTTGTAGCGCCTCAACCCAATGTGTGTGGTGAAGGTAGTGATGTACCTGCTGTCTGGATGAAGCTCTAGCTGGTGGTAAACACTATTGCTCCATTTAGCTTGTGTATCACGTCGTCCATGCTGGGAGTTATGTGCCGTTCTCTCTCTATAGCTGTGTTAGCTTGGCGCAAATCAACACAAAGTCTGACTTTGTCAGGGTCTTTAGGCTTGGGAGGTGCAACGATAGGTGAGACCCACAGTTTCACATTCCTTAATGATGTCATCTGCTCTGCCTCGAGTTTCTGAAGCTTCCACTTCTGGCGAATGTGAAACGGTACACGTCAATGTGGTTGGCATGAAGGCTTGATGTCAGGATTTATGTGAAACTTTACCTGAAAGTCCTTTAGTTTTCCGATCCCTTGAAACCGTTCCGGATGTGACTATTTTATTCAGTCCCAGTGCTTTGGGTGTTTTGTAGCTGAGCACGTTGAATCCATCCCCTTTAACTACAAAGAATATGCATGTTGTCTTTTCCTGTCCTTTCTCCACACTGCACTTGAAACTACTGTTGTGTTCAAAAATGAAGAAACGCCGGACGGACAGAGGTGATCGCTGATCAAAAGGTTAAAATCAAATGTATTTAATAAAAGAGATGGTGTTGTGGTAAAAAGAACATCTCAGCTGAGGAGCCGCTGGTCTTAGCAACCAACAGGCCCCAGGTCAGTCCTTTTGACCATCCCTAGTGCCCGTTTGTCGCCTCCACAAGCGAACCCGAGAACAATGGTTCCTACAGGTATTTATAACAATGCTTAAAGGTGTGAAAGTTAGTGTCCACACCTCTGGGAGTGGTCTTCTGGTGAGTTCAATGTAACTCGGGATTTCGAATGGCCCATACTCAATATCAGTTGTTGTGCAAGTATTACATGCATGCATTCCAGTTGATTACATTACATTAAATACAATCATAACTGTACATTGGTATTATTCTATTACAGTTGCAGAATTACAGTGGTTTTACAATATTGTCATTACTTTATTGATTACACAGTTCCAGAATCATGGCTGTATTCTGGTGTACACTATATGCATTTTTATTAATTTTATGAACCGGATCGTCAATTTGTTTCTAATATCCTACACTACCTTTGAGTGGTAATGGAACTTTGGAGCGAAACGGGTAAATCTTGGTGCTGGTGTGGTTCAGTTGAGGACATGGCATCAGTTTATCGGAACTTGTTTCGCTAACACAGTTTGCAGAGGCTGCTGAATCAATTAAAACTACCATGCTACTGCCATTTAACTTGATGTGTGTCTGTGGCAGCTCTGTGATCTTTTCATCATCTATTACAAACACATAAGCGTCATCTCTGCTAGAAAAGTTGCATTTCTGTTCTTCACCTGTTGTCCTTGTTATGTGATGGACTTTTGTATGGTGTTGGTTTGCCTTGTACTATGGTTGTTTTGTGCTAATGTCCTTGGTTTTAGAGCGACATTGTTTAGCAAAGTGATTCAGCTTACCACATTTTCTGCATTGTTTGCTTCCAGCAGGACATTCTCCTTCATTTACCTCCACAGTTCCTGCAGCTGTTGTCTGAACGTTGTTTTTCTGACCATCGTCTGCTGTTTGGATGCTTTTGCACGGTCTTTTGATCCAGCATGTTGACTGCAGCTGTTGTGCCTCTTTCTATGCCGGTCGCTCGCATTTCAGACAGCTCAAGTGTTCTTCCATGATCAAGAAGCTCTTCTAAGCCAAGTCCAGGTTCCCTTCGCGCTTTCCTGTGCAGCCTGGATGATGCGCAGCTTTGTATGATTTGCGTTTTAATCTCTGCGTCGACATATGCAAAACTCACAGTTCCTAGCTAACATCCTTGTATGCCTCGTATGATTACTCTCCATATTTTCTCCTAGTTCCTGTACCGTTTCTCTGAAGATGTATACTCGATACTGTACGTTTTTCTTAGGAGAAAAATATCCAAATAACTTCTGCTTCGTCTCTGCATACTTGTCATCTTCTGGTGATAATGTTTCGTAGATATCATGCACTCGTTCTCCTGCTATATGTAGCAAAAATGCTTTGAGCCTAGCATCTCCAGTAATGTTCATTGCAGTGGTGTAATTTTCAAACCTTTGCACCCATTTATTCCAGCGAGGTCCAACAGAGCCAGGATCAGTTTCCGTGTCGAAATGTGGGAGCGTAGCGGTGTTTCCTGCCATGCTTGCTGCGGCGCGCCGAGTGCCATTCACGTTTGTCCGCGTTAGCTTAGCTAGCTTCTCACCCTCGTGTCCGTTTTTCTCCTCCCTCTTCTTTTTCCACTCCCGAAAATAAGAAAGAAAAACACGCTGTCCGGGTCGATTCTTCGAGTGACTTTCCAGTTACTCCTCGTCGGCAATGTAGTGTTTGCGTTATATGGGTTTAAACACTAGACCTAACACAGTTTGATTCATATCCACGGGCGTTTATTCTCTGGCTCTTGCTTAGACCGTTACTGTCCTGCTCACGTGTCTTGGGCGTCTATATCCGCAGGTGAGGTGGTTACATCATGAACATCACAACTACTAAAGTAACAAAACATGGCACAAGTAAAAAGGTAACATGCTAGTAACAGACTGCTTTATAGTAAAAAGGCCTCTGCTGGAGCATCAGTAACACTTTAGGCTGAGAGTGGTAATGCAGGAAAGGAGACAACATGAGCCTTTTATCTAAATATTTTCTTGGTAATCAGAGCAGGTCAGCTGATAAGCAAGATAAATGTTTGCATGAGTGCAAAAAGTTTTTAAGACTGAAAAAGAGTTGGTCTGATCCCAAGTGTCTGATGGACACGTGGGATCAGACATTGACCTTATTTGACATGAAGTCAGAGGAGGATTTATAAGCCACTCATTTCCAATCATTTAAAGCTCAACAGGGCTTCATCACCACAAGCAGGACCGTAGATGACTTAGAACCGACACACCCAAGAGGACTACAACAACTGCTGCACTGAGGACAGAAAAGGCTTGACAGCTTTTACAATGAATTTATTCAACTCTGCTCTCGGGAAAAACATCACTTTTGTGCGTCCTGCTTATTTCATAATAAGCGGTTTCTCTGGCATACCTAATATCAAGTATTACTATGTCTTCCTCTGTTTTGTTTATATTGTTTCAGTGCTTGGAAATACAGTTGTGATGGCAGTAATATACTTGGATCATAATCTGAGAACTCCTAAATATATTGCAGTTTTTAATTTAGCATTTGTGGACTTGTTGGGTAGCTCTGCTCTGGTGCCGAAGCTTCTCGACATCTTTCTTTTTAACCATCGCTACATCTCCTACAACGACTGCTTGACTTTTGTCTTTTTCAGCTACACTTTCCTTTCAATGCAGGTTTTTAATCTGGTTGCACTCTCCTATGACAGATTAATTGCCATCATGCACCCTCTGCGCTATCAAGTGAAGGTGACTCACAGGTTCATGCTGTGTTTGATTGCATCTTTCTGGGTCTTTGCAGTTACTGTTGATCTTGTTTTAGTTGGTCTTCTTACCAGACTTTCCTTCTGCGGGTCTGTGGTTATCGACAGTTATTTCTGTGACCATGGCCAGATGTTCAGAATGGCCTGCAATGACTTCACACCCAGCCATGTCCTTGCTGTGTTGATAATAGCTCTAATTTTTACGTGTCCACTAGAATTCATTGTGTTAAGTTATATATGTATTGGTTATGCTTTGTCTAAAGTGGCCACAGCTCAGGAAAGATACAAGGCCTTTAAAACCTGCACAGGTCATCTCTCACTAGTGGCAATCTATTTCATCCCATTATTAATAACATTTACTGCAGGTTCACAAATACATCCAAATGCCAGAATCATAAACCTCTCTCTGACCTCTGTTTTTCCTTCTATGCTAAACCCAATCATTTATGTTCTGCAGACACAAGAAATCAAAGTATCAGTGAAAAAACTATTAAAAGTCAGAATTGAAACCAAAATGAAAGTGAAGAAAGTTATTAGATGACAACTGTTGTTTATATTATGGGTTTTTGTTGAGGATTGTGATTTCATACATGAATATAATATTTAGGATGATTTTCTAAGTCACACCAATAACAACCTTTGCATTGCTACTTTGTTGTGATTTAAGGGTTTCATTGATTTACTATTTAAAATATATATGTGGTCTGTTTAGTTCTCTGTGTCAGTTAAACTAATTCTCTATTAACACTTTCATTTTTCTACTTTGTTTACTATAAAAACCTGTTTACCCATCTTAAGGCGCTCGTCCTAAAAAACTAAACTCACATGTTTTATTTGTACTGGGGGGCTTTTGTGTTTGTAAACCTGCACATGTTTACTGTACATTAAAACATGTATATACTGTAGCTTCGTCTTTCAACACATTCAAAAAGCAGATTGTTCATTTGTTTTCATTTTATGGACAATGGATCTCATAGTTACAAATCACAGCATCTGGTTTTCTTGTCAGCTTCTCTTTTCTGATCTACAGTACATTTTGTTTTATCTAAACCTTGCTTCACATTAAACCTCTCCAACCATTTAGGGACGTGCTAACTATTATCAAAGAACTTTGTTGTGAAGCACTTACACAAATGGCAGATTTTTTTAAGGTGAAAACCTACATTTTCAGTCAATTGTAAGACTCTTTCTTTTTGTTATTTAATTGCAGCTTGTATTATAAATTATTTTCTATGCCTCGATGGCTGTTATGAAGCAACCTCATTGTTATGAAATACTTTTCTTGCGGTTTTCATAGCTTCTTGTGTTATATTAATAGAAGAAACATTGGAATAGAACAAACATTTTCAGTTAAATACATATATCAGGATGGTTAGATTGTCGTCCTTTTTTATTTGTACTCTTGCCAAACAGACCTTTTGTACCCAGTTGACTTATTTGGACTAAATCAGCTTAAAGAAAGTCACACACAGATGACACACGAGTGGCGGTTTTGCAGTTGTGACATCTCTTGTCTCTAATCACGGCCAGTATGCTTTTGTCCCTTTGTTCCTAGGGAGCAGATTGGCTGATGCGGAGCACCAGGTCCAAGACCATTGAGGGGCATAAAAGCACCGATCCAGCGTTGCTCGGTGGGGTTTCTCTCCGGCATGATACCCGGCTACTGCTGGTTGTTATTTTGGTTTTGGCTTAGACTTTGAGTTTGAGTTTGAGTTTGAGTTTGGCTTTGCTGACAGTTACACTTTCTTACACAAGCATGCATGTTGACGTGACTGATATTACTAATTTCCACACTCCACAACGCTAACTATTTCATTCTGTAAGTGAAAATAAACTCTCATTAACAGTGGTGTCTGCGCCATAGTTGTCATTACCTAAGACCCCGGTTGTGACACAGTAACAACTAGAATCAAAGCTGCTGAGCAGTGACTGTCCTTGCTACTCCGGGAGTCAGAAATGATTTAACCTGGTGGAGCGATGCCGGGATGGACGATTTGCAAATTTTATTTTAAACATTATCAGGTCTTCCGTCTTTTCTGACAACATTTGAGACAGATCTGATTGTGCTGTGATGGGGCAGATAACAAAAAACATGTAACGACACCGGTGTAAAATCATCAAAACAGAATATATATGTTTGAAAGTTGACACACATGCAAATCATGCATCAAGGCTAAAGGTTTACATCTTCGGAGAAGGAATATATAGTTGGAAGATAAACATGCTAAAACTGGGGAGGGGCTAAGTGCTGGTCGTCGACCTCGGATGTAGACAATCATCTTTGGCACCACAAGATTATAAACATCGACTCACAAACATCTTGATTATCAGGTTGACCCAGGATATCATGTGCCTCAGTGTGAAAGAGCACAGATCTTTTGTCGTACTAAAGTGGAAGCAGATGGAGCAGATTAACTAACGCATGAACGACTTTAAACCAATTCAATTGTCATACTGAATTGTGGTATTTTGTCGACGCACCACGCTCACATAGTTCAGTATTTTTTCAATCTTTATCAAATGTTTGATTAATCTCTGGATTCATCTCTGGTAGGAGTTTGTTCTTTACGACTCCATAAAACGATGAAAATGGGTTAGAATTAGGCTAAAAATGCTGATATTGAGAAATTAACTGCAGCACACCCCAGTGTTTAAATTTGGTAAAAAAATGTGTTTAGGGATGGGATATTGACATGTGCTACAAATTTGGTGAGAGCTGGCCAAGTGAAGTTATGTGTCTTGACATATTAAGCCACACCCCATAGACGTTAATTGGTCTACAATGAGATATCAACAACATTATTATGATTTCTGATGACATTGAACCAATATTCATTGATCCAGAGAAAATTTTGTAAGAATCAGACTCATAATTTGGAGGAGTGGGCCAAAATCTGTTTTTCACAAGATTCAAAAGGGTGGAAAATCTAATTTAAATGCCACAATTTACTTTTTTGTAGAACATAATCAAGAGCACATGTGTGCCAAATTTCTGGGGAAAGCCAAAGAGACATTTTTTATACCCAAATACGAGACCCGAAATATATAAAATTAAAAAAACGTAATAACAAAGACCCCTAAAAGAGAACAAAATATAATATGAAATAATATTAATAACACAATTCCTCTACGACTAGTTGTAGTGAGGACCCTGGAATATTAACGCTCTACTTATAGAAAGCCAGAGTAAATGAGTAATATTAAACAACTTAATGTTTTATTCTGACTTTCTTGTCACAGCGTAGAGCCAGATTAGTGACTTTATTTGGCTTATTATCTGTTACCACTATACTATTAAAGCATGGCATAATCAACAAGCTAACTTGCCAACTATTCTACTGCTGTATAGTAAAAAGGCGCATAAGTAACACTTCAGGCTGAGAGTTGAAATGGAGGAAGGGAGACGACATGAGCCTTTCAAATAATTAACTTTATCTTTCCTTTTTGTTGTTGATCAGAGCAGGTTAGCTGAGAAGCAAGTTAAATGTTTGCATCAGTACAAACGGTTTTTAAGATTGACAAGTAGTTAGTCTGATCCCGAGTGTCCGATGAACACGTGGGATCAGACATCGACCTTATTGGACATGAAGTCAGAGGATGATTTATAAGACACTCATTTCGAAACATATAAAGCTCAACAGGGCTTCATCACCACAAGCAGGACCGTAGATGGCTTAGAACCGACACACCCAAGAGGACTACATCAACTGCTGCACTGAGGACAGAAAAGGCTTGACAGCTTTTACAATGAATTTATTCAACTCTGCTCTCGGGAAAAACATCACTTTTGTGCGTCCTGCTTATTTCATAATAAGCGGTTTCTCTGGCATACCTAATATCGACTATTACTATGTCTTCCTCTGTTTTGTTTATATTGTTTCAGTGCTTGGAAATACAGTTGTGATGGCAGTAATATACTTGGATCATAATCTGAGAACTCCTAAATATATTGCAGTTTTTAATTTAGCATTTGTGGACTTGTTGGGTAGCTCTGCTCTGGTGCCGAAGCTACTTGACATCTTTCTGTTTAACCATCGCTACATCTCCTACAACGACTGCTTGACTTTCCTTTTTTTCTGCTACACCTGCCTTTCCATGCAGGTTTTTAATCTGGTTGCACTCTCCTATGACAGATTAATTGCTATCATACACCCTCTGCACTATCAAGTGAAGGTGACCCACAGGTTCATGCTGTCTTTGATTGCCTCTTTCTGGCTGTTTGCTATAATTTCAATTCTCGTTTTAGTTGGTCTTCTTACCAGACTTTCCTTCTGCAGGTCTGTGGTTATTAACAGTTATTTCTGTGACCATGGCCAGATGTACAGGCTGGCCTGCAATGACAACACACCCAGCCTTGTCCTGGCTAGGTTCTTAACAGTTTTAGTTCTCTGGTTTCCACTTGTATTCATCGTGTTAAGTTATGTATGTATTGGTTATGCTTTGTCTAAAGTGGCCACAGCTCAGGAAAGATACAAGGCCTTTAAAACTTGCACAGCTCATCTCTCCCTAGTGGCAATCTATTTCATCCCCATATTAATCACATTTACTGCAGGTTCAGGAATACATACAAATGGCAGGATCATAAACCTTTCTCTGACCTCTGTTTTTCCCCCCATGCTAAACCCAATCATTTATGTTCTGCAGACAAAAGAAATCAAAGTATCAGTGAAAAAAATGTTAAAAGTCAGAATTGAATCCAAAGTGAAGGTGAGGAAAGTTATCATCAAATGCCACCCTTTTTTTATACTTTGGGCTTTGTGTTGAGGATTACAATTTTATATAATAAAATAATATTTAGGACCTAATTTTAGTAATTAAAAATAAATGTAAGCTTGTTTCAAGTGACACTAATACAAACTTTTCCACGGCACATACAATATACGTGTGTTTTAATTCTTTATGTCAGTTAAACTGTCTGTGGACCCTTTAACATTTCTACTTAGTTTATTATCACAATCTGATTACCCATCTCAAGGCACTCATCCTCAAAAACTACATATTTCTTTCTTATTCGTACTGTTGTGCTTTTCTGTTTTTCACCCTGCATATCACTGTAAATTAAAATAATTTGTTCAGGAATCAGGAAAATTTTTGCCAAAATATGTTAGACATACAAAGAATTTGACTTGGCGGTTAGTGCATAACATCAGACAGTAAGATAATGAGACCATGGACACAAAGAAAAGTTTTCATTTTACCGTTCAACACATTCATAAAAGCAGATTTTTCATTGATTTTAATTTCATTGAAAATATGTTTCATTTTCATAAATCACAGCATCTTGGTTGTTTTCTGCTTCTTTTTTTTGAACCACTGTAAAGTTTGTTTTATCTCAACTCTCCTTCCCATTAAACTTCTCCAACCATTCAAGGACGTACCAACTTTTATTAAACAACTATGTTTTGAGGTACCTACAGAATTGGCAGATTGTTCGAAGCCAAATACCTATATTTCAAAATATTCAAAGATGAACAATGGACATTTTCACAAATTTTTGAAATTTTTATTAAGACAAAGAGAAGTTGTCATTAAGGTATGCAA